ATACGTCACCAGCGTGCGCATATTTTACACCAACCAGAAAATGGTCTAAGGTCTTTATGTGGACTTATCACATTATATGCTCCTGCTTTTGAGTTCACATAATTTAATGCAAGGGTAGCTTGCGGAGAAAAATATAGGCAATAATCTGATTTTGTCATTGATTATTCAGCTAGGCTATGGTAAACAAATAACTGGCTGCAGGCCTTTTTCCATCATAATGAATATAAGTGAATTACGGTTTTAATCGTCTGTACCCGAGAACTATACATGATGTAGCTACAGAGGTAAGAATGCAGAACATATTTATTACTTCAATAAAATAAACTTCAACACAACACTTGCCTTAAGAAAATATGATGGAAAGGTTGGAAATGTATCAATAACAATAAAAAGTGGTAAAGGAAAATGTTCAGTAACGAGTGCAGGGCATTATAATATTGTCAATGCACACAAATATGGAAAATTAAAGTGACACTAAACTTCTTTGTGTTCCCATTCGAGTGTTGCCTGCAGTGTGATGACATCATGAAGAAGGGTGGTGGGCCTAGACTACATTGTTGTATCTTGGGTCTTCACTCCAAGCAGAAGAGTTGTGGAGGATTATATGACTTGGGTACATAAATGGTATCAATTTTTAATTTAAAGTGACACTAAACCCAGGAGTTAAATCTTAAAAATGTATTCATGTACCTTAACTACTAACAAAAATGTATCGTATTTGTGTATCACTCGGCTGTAGATCCTCAAATCCTCTCTAAATTGGTTCCTAACACTGTCCTTTCTTCTGGAGGGGGGCTACTTTTGTTCCCCATGGTCCCTGTGTGTGTTGCAGAGTAGCCACAAATCATAATAATATGCATCGGGTCAGGACTATAAAGAGATAAAAAGGTATGAGGCTTTATTGGGCTTTAAAGATCATGGGGGATTGTTTTTCTCAGAACCTAATGGCTTTAGAGCGTTATAAGGTGCTTCATATAGTTGCAGCATTATAAGTTCTTAGAAAGCTGATAAGCTTTATTCTTGTTCACAAAAGGATACATTTTAGCTCGCTGTATAAATATGACTCACCTCTATGCCATTTCCAAGTTGTTCTTCCAGTATATAGGCAGGTGATGTCTTCTTCTTGGTCTCATTCCTTGCCTAATTGTCAAAGATTTCAATTTGAATTCCCCCTGGGTCTGGCTTGAAGTACTAAGGGCCCATAAAGATCTTTATGTCTCTTCTACAGACCAGTAGGATGGACTACAATCTCAATACAAATTAGTGAACTAAATGTGAGATTGTAGTCCATCACAGGAGCAAGGTTGGAGCGGTGACTACTTTACAACACACACAGGGACCATGGGGAACAAAAGTAGCCCCCTCCAGAAGGAAGGACAGTGTCAGCACCAACTCAGAGATGATTTGAGGAACTACAGCCGAGTGATACACAAATAAGATACATTTTTGTTAATAGTTAAGGTGCTTGAATGCATCTTTAAGATTTAACTCCTGGGTTTAGTGTCACTTTAAAATTAAAGGTGAATTCCAAGCAAAACCTCAGCAATAACAGTTTCTTACACAACTCTTTAGTGTATTTTTCATACATAGAACATATTATTGATGTCAGGTGTTGGCTAGGAGTCCAAAAAGGCACATCAGAATATATAACCCCTACTGAACATCTTTGACAGACCATTACCCATGATTACCGAAGTTTTTGAAATGTTTGGATTGCACTTAGTCTGCTTTCCTGCTGTTTATGTTTTGATTTCCTTCATCACCTAGACTCATGTATATGTATAACAAAATTGGTTCAAAGTAAAGTTTGAATTTGAGCCGTTTTGGATCTTAGAACATTACTCGTTTCCCTATTCCATTTTTAGGTGACAGAGGTTTCTCTATGTGTTTTGGACAACACTGTGTAATGGAAACCAAAAGGAAGGCACATCCAGATGCAATGACATAACCCCCCTCTGCCAATCCCTGCACTGGCTTCCAATAGACCAAAGGATAAAATTCAAAATATTAACAATCAGTTACAAAGCCATCCACAACTCTGCCCCCGGCTATATCTCAAACCTGGTCTCAAAGTATCACCCTAACCGTCGGCTCCGATCTTCCCAAGACCTCCTGCTTTCCAGCTCCCTTGTCAACTCCTCCCATGCTCGCCTCCAGGACTTCTCTAGAGTCTCTCCCATCCTCTGGAATTCTTTACCCCAACCTGTTCGTCTGTCGCCCACCTTGACTGTCTTTAGGCGATCCCTAAAGACTCTATCTGTTCTCATGCTCTGCAGAACTTCTGTTTTGCAGCAGACTGCCTTGTCTCAGGAATCGATATACGGTGTCTGTGTATACGCTTGCATAGGCTTGTAACCTGAGCAAGCACTACAGGAAGAGGCCGAGCTAAAAAAGGGAAGTTCTGCCCAAGCATGAGAAGACATGAGGATTTAAAAGGAAGAGCAGCAAAGAGAAGGGAAACAACCATGGATTACAGTAAGGCGCACATTACAGTATTGGTTTATGTTAAAAAATCTGAGGGTTTAATGTCACTTTAAGACCAAAGAAACTCTGTTCTGGTTGAGAAAGAATGCTCTATAGGGGGCATCTATAATCGTCTTTATAGCTTACATTAAAAAAAAATTGCTAATCTTTACAATAAATTATAGAAATATACAATAGTTTTTCTTTAATTTACATTTTGAGCATTTTGTCAATTTGTTTCCATGATTCTGCAGTCAGTAAATCCCCACTAATTATATTGCACATGCCATTCTCTTAATTATCCGGGTTGTCATATTATCTGTGCTAAAACCAAAATCTGTGAATGTCAATATTTATGGCGCTCCTGCGGATTCTAATTAGTGGCGTATCTATCCATGAAGTCTTGTTAAAGGTTGTTTAGTCTAGCACAGCAATCAGCTCATCAGTAATGAAGAGTAGAAACCAGAATATCGAGTAAAAGTCGGGAATATTACATCAAATGGTCATTGCAAAAACACTGAAGATTTAAAAACTTGGTAGAAGGATAAAAATGCTTCTTTTTTTCTTTATGAATCTGTAAAAACATTGCACTAGTCTGTAAAGCAAACCCGTACTTAGCCCTGTATTGTAAACGCATGGTTTTGCTTTAAAGGAAACTTGCACTGAGAAGAAATAGAGGCTGGCACCAAGTACCTACCGTTCTGAAAATACCATTTTCCTGGTTCTCATGTTCATGTGTTATCTTCAGTATATTCTGTGACACTGACTTAGAACACGAATGCAGATACGGAGCTCTGAATTTTCCAACCTGTATGCTTATTCCAGGTCATTGACTCGGGTAATACTGAAGCCACAGACAACTTGCAGATTTCAAGAAGGAGCTCAGAAATGACAGCCACTAGATTTTTTTAAAAAAGGGACAGCCAATAGGTATGGAAGCGGCACTGGCATTTCCTAGTACACAGTCCCGCATGCAAAGTGAATGTCACAGATGCACCCTGTACTAAATCGTAATTTCTAAAATAGTGATATTCAATAAAAAACTAAAACCTAAAACAATTGCGTATGAATCTTTTTGTAAACTTTACAAGCAAAAATGAACAAAAACCATGATAGTTTTCCTTTATTGTAAGCCTGTGCTCGGTCCATACATGGCAAAACTATATTGAATGAATGTATTCAGGAGCTTCATTAATTTGTCTCTTAAATTTGCCTGGAGCTCAGCTTGAAATCCCACCCAATATCAAAACAATCCTGAACATTAATCCTTAATCTGACCCTAACACTTAACCCAAACGTGTCCCTTAACTCAGCGGTCCCCAACTTTTTTGGCACCAGGCATCGGATTTGTGAAAGAAAATGTTTCCATGCACCAAAGGGTGGGGGGGCTTATGCTCAGCAATGTAAAGATTAGTAACTTGTATTCTCATAAAAATGATTGCTCAGCCTCGGTGCCATATACAATCAGCAGCATGCAGGGTCACGCACAGTAAGGCAGAAGTTCCTGTACTGAGGTTAGGAGCATATTTCACAGATCTCCAGCGGGCTGCCAGTAGTCACACATGTGCTTTCTCCTTCTCCTCAGCTCTGCTCCGTTATCAGGACCGAAGAGATCTCTCCGCTGCTGCACTGTGGATGGACGGAGTGATCCGACAGGAGGCAGAGGGAGCTCAAGCATGGACAGTTCCTTGTGGCCGCTTGAAAAGAGTTGTGCGTGGCCGCAAAGAGCCAAGTGAAAGCCGTGGATGTGGGCCCATTGGGTAAAGCAACTCTGATGGGGAGTGGGACTCCCGAGTAGACTGCTGGTGGCTGCGGCCCAGTTCCCAACAGGCCATGGACCGGTACTGGTCTGCGGTCCAGGGGTTGGGGACCCCTGCTTTAACTAAGCCCTTAATCTTACACTAAGTTTTCCTTTTATCTCATAACCTAGACATTCAAGTAACACTAGACTCAGGAGTTAACCCACAAAACTGCATTCAACTACCTTAACTATTAACAAAAATGTATCTTATTTGTGTATCACTTGGCTATAGATCCTCAAATCATCTCTGAATTGGTGCTGACACTGTCCTTCCTTCTGGAGGGTAGCTACTTTTGTTCCCCATGGTCTCTGTCTGTGTTGTAAAGTAGACACCGCTCCAAGCTCACTCCTGTGATGGACTACGATTTCAAAACAAATTTGTAAACTGAAAGTGGGATTGTAGTGCATGATGGGAGCGAGCTATACATGTTGTAATTTCTCCCTCTCCCAAGCTGCTGCAGTGATTTCAGTGCTAGCTACAATAGAAAAAAGGAGTGGCGAGGGAGCACTGGTAAGATGAGTATTAGGAAGTCAGATGGGATCTTTGCAGATACACCATCATTTTGTCCTGCAAAAGGCATGGTAACTGTAAATAAGACCTATGTGCTGCCAGTCAGACCATTACAACATGGCATGGCACCAGTTAAAGCATCCCAACATCCATGGAACAAGATCAACTAACCAGTCATAAAAGGTTCACTGGTGCAATAAAAACATTCAAATAAGATTTTTTTTTTTATTCAACATATCGAACAAATATAGCAACAAAACAACAGCCAATGAGTGACACTGTGGAGGCGGAGATGACGACTACCACCACACTTCCAGCTAGGATGACCAGGAATCCGAGACCACCACCTACAATGATCTGAGCCAGTTGTACCATGCAGGTGAGAGCAGCACAGTCAATTCCCTTCCCTCTGTGCTCTGTTTTCTTCCCTTCCAAATGGGATTCATACTGAAAAGGCAGAAGGCAACAAATTAGAAAGTAATAGTTGTATTTTCACTACCGCACATTGCTTTACAATGTTTACAATTGAAAAGGAATTCAGTTCACAAAATAAATAAAAGCATGGATCAGGTGAATGTACTGCAACAACTGTACGGTAACCCAAGTCACAAAGATCCTTAAATAAGCTTTCATTGCTTTGTTAGAGCTTAGTCAGAGCGGCTGGAGACAAACATGGCAAGGAAATCTCAGCACTGGAGCTTCCCAGAGATAAAAGTTGGTAGATGTTTCAACCCTACAGTTCCCATTGAAAACTTCTCATACAGGTCTATAGATAATTTTAAGACCATTTCCCGATCTAGAAGGAAATATTTACCTGGAAATCTGATTCTTTAAGGCAACTGGTGAGAAAAAAAAAAAAAAGGTGGCTCAAAAAAAATGGACCATTAAGGTTTCATCTGTTCTCTTGGAAAACTAAACAATGAACCCGATTGGTCACCAAGGATGTTGCGAAGGACAACGTTCCATCTTTATTATCCGTAAAAAGATTACAAGAAATCTAGTTGGTCAGGATCCACTAGGATTTTAAAAGACCTGGAACACCCTAGCCCTCAGGAAAGGGCACAAGTGGTGGCACCAGGCAGGAGGCATTCTATAATATATGTTGTTCTAACGCCATTCTGTTTTGGAATGTCATCTTTATTCGTATTCCTTTAGAATGACATAGGTGCAATGTAGACATGTGCACCGGCAAAAAATTAGTTTAGTTTCAATTCAGATTTTGCGTTATTTCGTTTTTCGGGTTTCAGGTCCGAAAGTCCATTTGTTTCGGGATTTGGATGAAATTAGTCACGAAGTTTCGTTTCAGTTTGGCGTTTGTTTCGTTGCAGCAAAGAGACACTACAAATTATTTTATTTTTTTCTTAAATATTACTTTGCTGCAATGAAAATTCGTCCACAAACGGAAATTCGTACAGACTACCGACTAATTTCGTCCAAAATGTCGTTTTTGGAAATTCGGATTAGTTTTCATTCGTAATTTCCGTTATTTGGAAAATCGGATACATCTGAATCTCCGAATAATGAAAATTCATCTGAAAAACACATTTTTCCAAAATGAATCGCACATGTCTAGTGCAATGTTGCCGAGCCTCAATGGGCCTCTTCATCAGACAAAGGGTCAATAATGTCATACAATAAAAAGCAGAATCGTGTGTGGACACATCTTCTAGATTGTATACCGTGGTCCCATCCACCGGTTGTTCCAGCACCCGTTGGATTCTGGGGTACATCACCCGTTGGATTCTGGGGTACATCATTCTGGGGTACATCAGTACTGTCTGCAAAGGGATATTACTAAGCCCTCACTTCTTCTAAAAAAGCGCCATGTTCATTATTGAGCTTACCACTTTATCAACATGAAATTGCCATCATGTAGGAACATATAATTATTCGTGAGTAATCATTAGATTGTTAACAGAGTATCTACTGACACAATACAGCTGACTGTGCTGAAAAAATATTATCTGTGTTACAATGATATACCTTGCTGTGGGCATATGGAGAGTAATGAGAGGTGATTTCCTACACCAATCAATGGCCAATGAGCAGAGAACATTAAAGGGAACATGTCACCAAGGAGTTGGATATACAGCAGTTCACTTATTAGATATAGCGACAAGCTTCCGATGAGCCTGAATCAGTGTTTAAATCAAAAAGGCTGAAACATTTTAGATGCTAAAGCAAACTTAAAGGTTTACTTTAACTGCAGTGCCACCAACAGCACATACTCATTCTGCATCCCCACTGCTTTGTTTGACCTCCTGAAGCAAAAATAATACTGGATGCTTCCTGGTATTGAGGAGGAGTGTGTGACCCACTCGCCTACCTGTTATGCGCTTGGTGATTGGTCCAGAGCTGTCACATGGCACAGGGAATGAAGCAATGGCCATGGCTATAATGAGGCAGCCTGAGACATCTCTTTGGGTCACAGGGGGGTGGGGGTGGCAGGCCCCTTTATGGTTTAAAGCATCCCAGGTTTCTAAGAGCCAGGCGGGGAGATGTGTACAGTCCATACACATCTCCTCTATGCCGGCGCCCAGCTCTTGGCAACCAGTGACATAATTGGTTGCCAGAAGCTGAGCAGGATGCTCTTGACCTGTGGATTACATCGATGGGCATTTTCTTTTTAAATAAAAGACTTTGTTTTTTCCTTTTTTTAATAAAGGACTTTGTATTACGGTGTGGTCTGTTTATTTACCATTTTACTGTATTTGTGAATGAGTAGGGTAACGACTACCAATTACTCATTCACAAGGGGGGTGGAATCTGGGTACCCCAATTATGAAAAGGAGTACCCAGATTCCTATAAGACCCCGGCCTGCAGACCCCGAAACCACTGGGCCAGGGTTGTGGGCAAGAGGCCCTTGTTCTCACCAACATGAGGACAAGGTGCTTTGACAGGGGGTCCCCCCCCTAGCAAAGCACCCTCCACATGTTGGAGGCATGTGGCCTAGTATGGAGGGGTGGGGGGGCGAACACTCACCCCACCCCCCCCTTTCCTAGGTTGCTGCTCGGATCGGGTCTGGTAAGGGATTTTAGGAGAACCCCATGCTTTTTGTTTGGCATTGGGTTCCCCCCCCTAAAATTCTTACCATACCTAAAGTGTCTGGTATAAATTGGGGTGAAGGAAACCCACACTTTTTTTAATTGTTTTTTATTGTTCCTGTGGACTTTCAAAAGTTAAAAAGAAAAAAAACCTTTAATGTCACTTCTCTGCAACAAATTTGTATTTTTTTTTTTTTTTTTTAATATTTAATATTTTTATTAGACAATAACATACAAAAATCCATGATCACAATGCAAATCCCATACACCTAACCTACATAACCACCCCCCACATTCCATTATGCTAGAGTAAAGTAACATTTACAAATCAATGCATTGAAACCCACTCGTTTTACTAATCCACTAGGATACAATATCTTTTCTTTTTTTCCCCCAACATCAATAAAAAACAATTTCAGGCCACCATTTAGAGTCTCCTCTAGAATTTTTGTAACCTATATATTATAATATTGTAACATCCCCCCTAAATAACTTACCCATTATCCCAATCATACAAAAAAATAAAAGGAAAAAAAGGAAATAACCATTATAAAAATTTCCATACACCATTTAACACATCTATCTCTCCCTTCTCCCCTGGATCATAACCATACAGATTTTCCCCAGAGAACCATTATTACCCTCTTCAGATTTTTTTTTCCCCCCAGCAGGGTTTATTACTTTATCTTAGTCTTCTATACTGTGGTCCTGTCACTCCCATAATTAATAATATCCCTAGATAGTAACCACACAGACCCGGTTGCATAACATCTATAATTTCTATCATAAAGTTGAGCCGTCAGCTTCTCCATATACATCAAACGATTTAATTCCGTTTTCTATTCCCCCATACTATGTCTGTTTTCCAATATCTTGGAATGACTGCCCTGGCTGCTGCTAGAAAAAAATCTTAGTACATTTTTATTCATAAATAATATTTCACCGATTCGAAAATTTCATATTCGGACAAAATCTGAATACCGAAACAAATTGGCTTTCGGACCAAAATCCCCAAAAATTTAAAATTAAAAGAAAGTTCAAAAAAGGAAATTAACCAAATTTCTTGCAGGCTTACATGTCTAACAAATCCATAAAAAAGAACCCAAGTGGATAATATTAATATAACAGTAATATTCAATTTTGTACATGTGCTCAATATAATTTGATACAAATTTAAATAATTTAACTTTCATTTTACAGTATACATTCAATATCTTAATCTTTATTACCAACTAAAGCAAATATAATTGTGTCACATTACAAAAAAAAAACCCCCACACATATTTTGGAGATGACAAACAACTTCAAAATATAATGGAAAAAACTTGCAATTTTCCAGCTGGATGATCACCACAATTCATTATTTCCGGATCAGTTAACGAAGCTATAACAGTCGTACTATGAAAATGGCCTCCATGCAGCACCGTAGATGGAAATCTCAGAGGTTTAAATTAAACACCATTTGCCAGATCTGTGTGAATGAAAAGCCTAATAATCTATTTTCATAGGTAGCGGTCGCAATTTACACTGCGCACGCCAGCAGCCTTCCCGACTCGTATTGAAATAAGTATCGCAGATTGTTAGGAAGGCATTTGATGATGGTATGGTGCAAAAAAAAAATAAAAAATGGGCCCCACCATTAAAAGAAGCCCTATTAAACTTTATGTCCATAATGATGAAGCTAGTACAAAACAGAAGCTTTCTTATACTAGAGTATGAATACAGTGGTACCAAGGTTCACGAACTTAATTCGTTCCACGATTCTGGTCGCAAACCGAATTGGACATGAATTAGGACGGTGATATCGACGAGAGGAAGCCACGACCAGTGTCAGAGTGGGGAAGATAGCTGCGGTTGTGTTTGCCACCCGATGCAGAGTTCGCGAATGGAAGCAACATTTTGACGAACTTCCTGTTTGCGAACAGAAGCGTTCGTGAACCGAGGTACCACTGTATTTTTATCCACATGTTAAGGGCCCATTCACACCACATCCAGATTACCACCAGACCGTTTCCGGACCCAAAATGCATCCCAACGTATCCCTATGATATCTCTGGCCTTTGTTCCCACCAGCACAGTCCGTTCCAGACCAGACCAGATGGAACGCACTGGAACGCATGAAACGCACCTGTAAGAGCATTTGAAGCTAAAAAAAAAAAATTCAATAGCGGCAAAAACGTTAAGCACTATGTTCCAGATCTGGTCCGGAAAATGGTATGAACCCAAAGGGCTCATTCACACAGGCGTGCACACTCATTCAGAGAGCTGCTTTTAGGAGGGACAGGTGCTGCATGTTATTGTGTGCAGCCACCTGTACCTCCTTATGGGCAATTTATCCACAAAGTTTATAGTAAAAGCTAGGGATGCACCGATACCGTTTTTCGATATCAAGTACCGATATT